TGCTGCGCCTTAGCCACGACCATCGTAGCTACTGAGAAGTGGATAGTTAGAAGGCATGGCCATTTAAAACACTCACCTTGGCTTGCTACAACAGCGACTACAAATGCGAAAAAGGTCTTCATTGTCCTTGAAGCTGAGAAATTCAACTGTTGTGATGTGTTTAAATGTAAAGCTTTATATATGTTCCGACTCTTCATAGTTGGTGACTTAGTCAATCACAGCGCACAGTAGGATGGCTCTAATTAACAGCAAACTAATTCAATTAGACGATTCGGACAGATGTCCTGTTCTTAACGAATATTCTCTGTTTGAAACCTACACATGTTGAAACAATAATTGTCGCGTTCTTAATAAAATAACCTGTTTTTGATATCTCTCTCGATTAGATCTCTTTGCCACCTACTGTTGACCATTACTAAACTATGTCAATGAGCTGACATTGCCAATTCTACAAAAGTCAGTTGGGCGGTGGGGTAGCCTAGTGGATAAAGCGTTCGCTCGTCACGCCGAAGACCCGGGTTCCATTCCTCACATGGATGAAGTCCATTTCTCGTGTCCCCCGCCGTGATATTGCTTGAATATTGCTAAAAGCGGCGTAAAACCAAATTCACTCACTCTCTCACTCACTCTCCAAAAGTCAGGTGATAAACAGAAACGTCTTTCCTATAAACGCTTGCATGTATTCTTCTTGAGAATTTGTCAAGAGATCTAAACTTTCGGGCAAAAGAAAGCGTCAACACATTATTTATTGTTGCTAAAATTGAAACAAACCAAAAATGATTATTCGATGGTGATGTATTTCATAGATTTATACCTTAAGTTTTGCAGTGTTTCGGCGACTGTTTTCAGCTTGGTAACCTTTTGACAACGTTTGTCAAAATCCCTTGTCAAGTGTATACTTTCTTTATCCGGCAGTTTATACAAATACAGTCAATACAAAGGTGGTCGTTCTTAATATCTGTAAGATTATAAATTTCTGTAATATATGACATGGAGGGAGATATTGCTCCGTAATTGGCAGTCAAGAGTTACGCCCCTTAGGGAAGCCAGCATCCGATGATCATGAGTACGAACGTTTTCATTTTGATAATTTTGTCTTCAGATTTGTATTTGAACCAAACAAAGAATATGTAGTAATTATACTCATGCGATATGCAAGATTTTATCAAACAGCATAATGTACGCACACTGCATGCAAAAGAGTGCTCTTATTTATTCAACCGATAACTCATTGTGTGGTGAACCTATTATTCTGGATGGGTAGATAACGAGAACCGAGTTGATTAGATTGTAAATGATATGTGAAACACGTCAAACTGATGTATGGAAGGCGTTTGAATTGTTCATTTATCAACTTTACTTTCCAGTTTCACACCTGATTAATTACCACATAAGTGAGTGTTTAGTTTCCATTGCCTTAACAATTCAGTTGCATGTAATCATTTGTGTTTTAATTAATTCGAAATAGACATGGCATTTTGTGTATTATGGTTTGATGTGTTTCATCTAGGTGGGTTCTGTATTTGTTGTTTCTGAATTGATTATGCCAGTACATTTTTAGTAGATTTTATTTTATTTTATTGATTAGGAAGCAATCGGCAACATTCGAACTATATCCTGGTGACATACACATAATAGTTTCGCCTGGGAACGGCGTCTTATACCTTCTTTGTATAATCAAAGTCTTACGCCGTCCAAGTGCAGTGACACGCAATTTATCGCCGCTACTGCAATCGACGGTTTATGGAACGTACAGTTCATGGTGTCCGGTGTGTTTACGACATGTTGATGGAGAGGCAGATGTGTTTACCTGTGAACCATCCCCTCAACATGGAGATACAGATGTATCAACCTCTTAACCATCCCTTAAAATGACAAGGATTGTTCTTAGATCCAAAATAACTCAGGACAAAAAGTGTGAAGGCGATCAAATCATATACTTCCTGAGGAGTGTGTCATCATTAAAAAGACTAAAGTTATTGTTGATGAAACATCCTTGAAGACAAAACAAGAGGCCCTTATCAGATGTGATACAAATGCTGACAAATCTTTACAGGATGCACGACTGAAAGGAGATGACCAGATTTTATTACAGATTGGGAACTCGGACCCAGCATGTACAGAAGCGCGGTACCATGCGTCATGTTATAAAACAGTACTCTAAATGTGTATATAATCTGAATTCCTCGCATGAAAGCCTCCAAGAAACTTTGTGCAGAGGTAATTAAAAGTATTAAAAGAAAGGGAGAAGTACTTTTATATATACTTTTATTCCTCCATAGGAGAGTTACAAGGTATAATATTAAAGATAATTACATGAAAATTATTACATTGTCAGAGAATACCACCATATACCACTGTGGTAACGTATTTTGTTAGTAAATTCCGTCCATATAATGAAAGCGGTATAGTCCTCGAATTTCACTTCGTGAGTAAGAGCGACTCGTATCTGGATCAGTATCCAAAGGTGGCTTACAGGACAGCAAACATAGCCTGATTTGTTGTGGATTTCAACGCTGATGTCAACGGGACCTATACACACAATGTCACACCATAAGTTCTCTCTTATTGTTCTCCTACTCACACAGTGGCACCGTACGTGAGTCAGTAAGTCATGGTAGTTAATACCACACTGTGAACAGATACCATGTAATTTCCCCGGTCTCCACATCGCACAAATGTGGACAGCAAAACAGGCAGCTGCCTTTAGCTCAGGACACTCTCGAGCTATCCTCCCCGCCACGTGTGGGGTCACATCCGGATGAATACTCTCAAAGTGCACAGTGTCGGTTTCTGATGAAAGTCTTTCCCGCCATGCTGGCACTTCAAAAGTATTCACGGCTTCTTTGACTGTCCTTTTCCATATCTTCCGCTCCAGGGATGTACTGGAACTAAGAAATGCCTCCAGGTGACAGGATAATGAATACTTGTGGAGGATGCGACATATGTCTGGGACAAAGCCCATACTTGTGGATGAACACTTATGTATATAGACATGGAGATACGAGTCATAAAAACCTTCTTAGAAAGCAGATGATTAGAACAATTACAGAGGTGGCCAAGAAAGAATAGTTTCCTGATGTTGATAAGTGATTCTATGGGGAGCCAGCCGGGAAGAGCATGAACTATGTCAGACCTAGTATGACGTGGAAGACCCTGTGCCATTTTGAGAATGGACCTCTGTGCTCCTTCTATAGCCAGATTTTCTGCCTTGGAAATCAACGACCGTAACACCAAACATAGCCTTTGGGATACAAATTGCCGTAATAAGTTTTGAGCTTGTCATGGGGTTTAGAGCGCGTTCATGCAGTCCCGATTTGACGAGGGCCATGGCTGATGCTTTCATCTTTGAGCAGCTCTCCAGAGTTCTCTACAATGAGTTAAATTCAGTGTTCAATATAACCAACGTGCTTAAGCTCATTTGTCACTGGGATATCACGTCCATAGAGTACAACACTAGAAGTAGCTGCTTTTCTGTCACTATATCTGACTATCTGGCTCTTGGAAGGAGATAAAAAGAGAACCGCCAGTCTGAACTATATCTTTCACATATGGTCATCATCTTCTGCAGATTTGCTGATACTGGACTAACAATTGCTATATCGTCCGCTTGAGTTGGTGCCATTACATGGATATCCAAGATCACTGCACCAAGTTTGCTGGTGGACAGTTTCTCTCACAGTTCATCTATGTATAGCAGGTACTGCGTCAAACGCTTTTGAACTGTCTAAGAAGGCTAAGTTGATGGCGTCCGATCGTTCTTTATGAAGTATTGATTCTTGTACAATTAAGGAGGTGTCACTGGAGGAAAGGCCTTTCTAGAGACTGAAAGGAGATGTTCCAAGAGAGTCACCAGACCACTAGTTAGACTGAATCTCTTACCCTGTGAGACAAGAGCACTTTGTGCCCCGTGAAAGGTCATGCTCATTGCAGAGACTTTAAAATTAAAGTTTATTCAAATATTTCAAGTTGATTAGTTCTGAGTTAAAAGTTTGTAACGTTAGTGAAGCTTTAACCATTCAAATGAAGGATAGGTCTGGTATCCATCTGATAATAGTTCTAAGGAATGTAATGTTTCCTTCACTTATTGTCCAATACTAGGCAACCATGCACTACCACATCATATCCCGTGCGACACTAGGTCACGATTACCCGTCACTTGTACCATGCAATGAAATGGTTGAACCTTACATGTCTCCTTATTGTCTTTGTCACTGTACATTTACATGCTCCCCGGTAAAGTTCCCGTGGGTGAAGCGGATATATATGACTGAGCCGTGGAGCAGTGAATATAATTTCAATTAATCAAAAGAGAGTATCAATATTCAAGAGCACCCATGTGTGACAGCATTATAGCACCCATCACGAGTGCTGATGAAACTGACGTACTGTTCAAAGAGGCGTTAACCTAAACGCACTCACTCTTTGCTGTACAAGCGATAGCTTCGTTCTGTTTATCTTCTTAGGAAATGTGTGGAAAATAGTAATCGTAATGGGTTCATTTGCCAATAACCGTTTTATTTCAATTTGTTTCAGGAATTAACTGGTGACAACTTATTATGTCCATTTGTCTTGATCCTGTATACATGTGTTTCCTCATTTAATCGTATAATGTCTGGTTCTGAGTATTTAGTTCACCGCATAATGGTCTATCCTCAAGGATGAGGATGCGAGTGGTTCAGTCGTCTGAGGCGCCGCTATTCGCCGTGCAGAGTTCCGTTCCTTGGACAAACCAAACCCAACTCACTTCCTCTATCCTCAAAATAGAACGATAATAGAAAAACGTGTTAAAGTAGTTTCATTTGATCATCAGTTGACCAGCCTGGACCAGTTTCTTTGCGTTCTTGACTGTCGAGAGTCTATGTTATGTATGGTGTGATAAATGGCGTTCCACTAGGATTCGATTGCTAAATAATGTTCACGTGCCTATTATATGACACAGGTTCAACAAATGATCTCCATATCTCACATAAACCGTCCAAGCAACAACAGTACTCTGGTCAAATGCAAAGTTTTATTGACAATGTTTTACACGTGACGTTGTTCGTGGGCGATGAAGGATCGAGAGGCAGCATTGTCAGCATCTGCAATACCAAAAATACACACTGAAGTTAACCGTGTCATGTGTAATAATGTTAGAATATTTCATATCATGACTAGTCATCAGGAAAGTGGACAGAGCATCCGTCCGGGGAGCAGAAGACCATTGGTCCAGAGTAAGTATTTCTCCCAATCCACCTATGCTGGTCGTTAGAGGCGACTTAATGGGTCGAGTGGTCAGACTCGGTAATTTGGCTGATTGCGTGTCTGGTTCAGACAGGCCTTCATATAGCTGGAATAGTGCTGATTGTGGCGTTGAAGTAAACGAAACAAACAGTCAATAGTTCCAACCGAAACTTGTTCCTCAGACAGCGGTGTAACTATTGCGTAGACAGAAGGAAAACCTCCGCGGTGTATTGGACAGGGCGTCTGCCCGAGGCGCCATTGTAATTACTGTGGAGTAATTTGTCCTGATTTGTAAACCCAGTTAATTTTTGTAATTCATTTGTTGATTGTATACAACATGCTGGTTGTTTGTTGGTTTCACACGAAGTTCTTTTACGTTCAGACTTCTGGATTAACATACTATTTCAATTTGGGAATCAACACGAAACAGTACATAATTTCAATTTGTAAAAGGAGAGTAGCAATGTTCAAAAGCACCCGTGTGTCCTTTAGCGCAACATCAACCATCAACAAGCACTGGCCGGCTCGGTGTCTGAGTATAATGTGTCAGAGTGGGGTTTCGATGTGAAACTGCGACATGGCATCTCAGTGAGCAAGCACTATAAAGTCCGGACAAGAACAAGCCGCCACATGGAGTGCAATAATCTTGAACGCGATGTTAAAACTCATCCCGCCTCACTTCACCTTACCTCGCCTATATCACGTTCAATACAACTCACCTTACAACTAGTTGGCACCACACATACCAAGTAGTTTGCATGACGTTTTAACATTCTGTAATTAAAAAAAAGTTCCATTCTTTTACATATTTTTAATTAAATAAACAGTCAACACGTCCCATTTTAATTCTGGAAACCCAAAAGTCCAGAAACTCTACGCTCTTTGCCCAGTCTCGGTTAAAGGTATTTACAAAATTAAACATGCCGTTTTCATGGGAACATACCAAGGAAGAAAAAATGAAAAAAAAAATGTTCAAAAACTCAATATTTAGACTATGTCGCCCATGGGCCTGCCCATGGGCGAGAATATGTTCCTTTACTTAAAACTCATGTTTTTGTTTCGCAAATACATTTAATGTATTCATTCAAGTATCATGACACAAAATTTAACTCATTTTAACTTAATTCAACGATTTTATAGCGATATTGAAATATTTCGCCCATGGGCGAGAAAAGGGTTTGGCCCATGGGCGAGAATATTTTCCTTTACTTAAAATTTATGTTTTTGTTTCGCAAATACATGCAGGTGTTCTTACTATTTTCATGGCACATAATGTAACTCAATTTTACTCAATTCAGCTATTTTACAGATTTATTGAAATATTTCGCGAGAAAAGGTTTTGCCTTCGAAATCCTTGATTATTATATCATGCCAGAGTTCTGAAATTCAGTGACAATGCTGTTGAACAGTAGAATCTGATTGACGTATTGTGCAGAACCTGTTTGACACTATGGGTTCCAGGACCACTAACACTCTGAGCTGAAAAAGTTTGGTCCTAACCGCACCCAACATCTTTAATGAACCCGGTCTTATCTCTCAAAACGTTTTGGCAGTTTATCATACGAATTCATGTGCGTGTACAACATTAAATTTTAGTTAGTTTCTATTTCATTTCCCATTTTATGACCCGTTGATACATCCCACTGTGCAATTACGTGACAGGTACGCGTGCGCGTATTTTAATGGAAAGAAACTTTTATTGCATAAACTTTTATTGCATAACGTTTGGCTGAATATCTTACATTCTAACGAAATCTCGAAATAATTATTTAATTACAAGCAGTGTCGAACTGACCAGTAGGAATTATGTTTCAATGCGATTGAGGAAAACGTGAGTGAATATTGTGACACTAAAGCAACTTTTAACTGCATTGTCACTTTTGGTATGAAAATGGTAATAGTTAAGAAAAACGTAACAGCCTTCTAATGATAATTCTCATATTCTCATTAGTACGTTGTCTAATTACAGTGTCGGCCTTATTTACAGGTGATTCTACAATACTTGTTGTCGGTCAATTACAATCTGCCACACCACGCGTGAATAAACAGTTATGCAGGTGTTGCTGTAGGCAAATACCTAGCCTGTACATGTATATTTTTGTGGATACATGTATTACATATTTTCGTTGATATGTGGATATATTAAGCACCAAGACACAAAAAGTTTATGAAAGATGAATTTGTGCCTTGATATATATATTCAACGCGAACGAAGCTTGTATTTTCTCCGCGATCCTGATGTGTATCATCGTTTAATTGGTCATTCATTAAAAGTATGTTGTGAGGCGATATCAAAGGAGCCGCTCAATATACACAGTGTCGTCCGTTTCGCGTGAACTACCACCCTACCCTGTCAGTAAGAGTTATGTGATCGGTACACAAATATATTTGGTGCGATGTCAGTGTGGAAGGAGTTTGAATTACGTCCGCCAGTGGCCACAGAAAGTATAGTACCAATCAACAAGGCCAATGCCGTACTAATAACCTAGTGACTCGCGTAACAACGGCTGTCAATATGTCTGCTACATCTACCATACCATCATCCCTGTCACAACTGGCGTATTAACGGCTTATTCAAAATATTAATTGTAGAAATGTCGTTACCAGTCTAACGTACGTCGTATTCAGTCCTCAACTGGATGTTACATTCCTTATATCAGTTAACAGCCCTGTTTGTGAAAATATTTACTAGACATAAGATTTAAAGACTAATAAAATCAATTGTAAGACCGCATAGACCATAAAACCGAATAAAATATGTCTTGGTATCATCTCTTGTGTATTAGATGATGGCAATGACCGGAAATGTTACAACGTTAGATTAAGAAGGAGAAACATTAAAGTGTTTTACAATACTTGGAAACATGAGCAATAAGATGTAGCAACATAAACATGCATGGAATAGGGGAAAAGGATGAAAACAAATTGAAAAGGATTTTAATACAAAATTATCGAACTAAATAACTTGCCTGAACATAAGGGGTACCCAAACTTGTTTGACAGTTATTCGTGTGTTGTAGACTGTCGAATGGGACTCATGTGTGTACGTAGGGTACGCATATCTATTGCAAGTTTTAGTACTCATACACTTTCTCTTATTGTGTTTTGTTTGTTTGTTAGTTGTATAACGCCACACTTAGCAATATTTCAGCTGTATGACGGCGGTCTGTAAATAATCGAGTCTGGACCAGACAATCCAGTGATTGACATCATGTGCATCGATCCACCAATTGGGATACGATGACATGCATCAACCAAGTCAGCGAGCCTGACCACCCGATCCCGGTAGTCGCTTCTTACGACAAGCGCTGTCGCCCTTTTACGCCAAGAATGGTTTGTTGAAGATCTTCACGGGTCTATTGAATGCAGGGATTTGTAAAGTCATTCAGACAGCATACAATGCCAACTAAAAAATTATACTCAGTGTCTCCGCAAAGTAATATAGTACGGTACTTAGAGTACATGTGAGATTATAATCAGATTAGGGAGATGTTTTATCCATATAACGTGTTATTATTCTACCTAACAATGTATTTAATGAAATGAATGCAAAACAAACTCAACGGCTAAAAGGTTTCATTGAAAAAACTACCCCTAGTCTTGACTAATAAAACAACTGCAATCCGACACAGATTAAACGCAACTTACAAACACAATCATAATCTGGTTAGTCTGTATCACTCAACGAGGCCGCTTACTTTGCCCACAGTATGAAAGTATTGGGCAGTTCAGTAATTAGGAGCCAAAACCAGGCAGGTACGCTGGTCACACTTGACTGGTCTGACTGATGATTAGGTCGTCTGACAATTGTGAGTGAACCATAGCAAGAAGTATCTGCGAAACTATTTGCTCCTTTTATGGGACCGATTAATTTTATGACCATGGGCCTCGGCACAAGCGTGGTGTTGGAAGACAAGTTATACATGTACATCCGATATGGTGACTGTTTTTCGCTATTCATATTCTAAATACATTCATAATACCACAACATTTTAGTACTCCTTGAAACTTTACAATCACTTCAATATGTACAATAGATTGAACGAGAACACTTGATATATTGCAGATTATTAAATCATTGTCTCTATTATCAGCCGCTACGTTTGTATCGTTTGCATTGTACAAAGAAATATTTTATCTGTCCTTTTGCAGATTTAGCCTCAGAATGTGCTCATTCGAATTAGGAACGAAAATAATTGCTCATCATGAGTATATATGATACAGTTAAAAGTTACTTGTACACTGTAGACGTATTCACTTTAAAGTCGCATACGACCTTCGTGAGCGAGTTGAATGATCCAGGTTAATTGGAACTAAGTCTAGAGAGGGTTATAAAGTTTTGTATTTGGTTATGTGTAGGTTTGTTAAATATAATTTTTTAAATTCCTTTTATTTCAATATGTAAAAACATAACTATGCGCTTAAAAACAGAGCTGACTTGATGGGAGATAGCCACCTCAGATTGTTTGTTGGACACGGTTTAACCTTACTGTGTCCTCACCCTGGTTGTTGTTACCGTTGTTATAAGGGATTAAGAGCTACGGCTCATTGCATTTTTGGTTACAGTCTGTATCACTAAAGTGGACATGTGCAGGTGAACTCTGTTCAATTAGTATATGAAATGCCCCAAAATGTGAACTCCAGACAATAATAACCTGAGGGTAAATCCACGTGCGTCTGCCTTTCCCCTCGTTCACCTTCGAAATCCTTGATTATTATATCATGCCAGAGTTCTGAAATTCAGTGACAATGTTGCTGAACAGTAGAATCTGATGGACGTTTTGTGCAGAACCTGTTTGACACTATGGGTTCCAGGACCACTAACACTCTGAGCTGAAAAAGTTTGGTCCTAACCGCACCCAACATCTACAAGTTTGTAAGCTTGTAGACATCATTAAGAAGTAATTAACAGTCCCATGCTGAGACCTTTCTCAAAATTCAGACCGGTGGCAGGCTGCCAACAAAGAGAAGAAAATATCGAAACCCCGACACGAGTGTGCTCAGTCAAACAATGAACATACGACCGGCAGAAAACAACTCCAGTTGAGTATGCCGATGCTGTATCTCAGCCGTGTTGGCCTGAAAATTTAAACATGCCAATTAAATCCGAAATCGTATAATTATTTTTAATAGAAACCGTATCTTAATTTGTTCTTGCACTGCATCATATCGTGTATTTCATCTGTATATGTGTAATGTGTATATGTATCAATGACTACACTTATACCGCATATTCTGCAACAGACTATAATTAATCACCTTATTATTGTCTCTCCATTTACCATGGCTGACTGCACTAATACCCTTTTAACAGTGGACACCGATATCAGTATACATGTAGGCTTTTTGTTCAAAAAGGAATATGCAGGAAATTATATGTAACAATTAACTGTGTACTAATTACATGTTTGAATGTTATCAGTTTTACGTTCTGAGATACAGTGATGTAAGCATCTTCTAAAATCTTCTAAAAATATAATAAAATACAAAACTCTCTGCCGTAATTTTTTGTGGAAATCATTCGATCAAGTAAAAAATGACTGCGTGACAAGACGAATCAACTATTTATACCCGATAAAAGAAACTGCCGTATTTTAGGAACAGTGCTATAACAAGACATTTGAAATTTCTAACAAGCAGATACATTAGAGACAGTGACTAGACAACAGGTACGTAATCCGTATCAATCAAAGGTGTAAAAAAACTGAAAATCATATCTGTCGGAGACCTACCAAATTACCAAGTTTTATCATTACTATATTTATTACAATGCAAATACTTTAGTGATACATTTTTTAGAGGAGAGGGCATACACACAAGTATATTGCTTCCGTGTGTAAATGCAGGTTGTACTTGGTATCTCAGTTCTCAGTTTCATACCGGTTGTATAACTGAATTTGTATATGGAACCATGCGTACAGCATGACAATTACTTGCTATTCGTCAGTTTACAACACACATAACACGGTCAAACAATTTTAGGCACCGCTTTTGCGAGTTATGTAGTACAATAATGTTTTATTAAAATCTATTTCAATTTGTTTTCACCATTTTCCCTATTGACAGTCGTTGTTACGTGCGTCACTAGGTAATTAGTACGGATTGACCTTGTTTATTGTTTCTATACTTTGAGGATTTCTGTGACAACTGGCGGACGTAATTCAAACTCCTTCCGCACTGACACCGCATCAAATATATTTGTGTACCGATTAAATAACTCTAATGGACAGGGTGGGGTGGTAGTTCACCGGACGACACTGTGTATATTGGGCGGCTCCTTTGATATCTCCTCCAAACATACGTTTATTGAATGACCCCATTACACGATGATACACATCTCGATGAATATATCAAGGCACTAATTCATCTTTCATAAACATTTTTTTGTCTTTGTGCTTAATATATCCACATATCAACGAACATTTGTAAAACATGTATCCTAAAAAAAATAAACATTTTCAGGCTAGGTATTTGCCCACAGCAACACCTGCATAACTGTTTATTCACGCGTGGTGTGGTAGATCGTAATTGACCGAGAGCAGGTATTGTAGAATCACCTGTAAATAAGGCCGACACTGTAATTAGATACAACGTACTAATGAGAATTATCATAAGAAGGCTGTTGTTTTTTCTGAACTGTTACCATTTTCATACCAAAAGTGACAATGCAGTTAAAAGTTGCTTTAGTGTCACAATATTCACTCACGTTTTCCTCAATCGCATTGGAACATAATTCCCACTGGTCAGTTCGAAACCGCATGTAATTAAAAAAATATTTCGAGATTTCATTAGAATGTAAGATATTCAGCCAAACGTTATGCAATAAAAGACGAATAGTTTTTTTTCATTAAAATACGCGCACGCGTACCTGTATATTGCATACCTGGTGTCACGTAATTGCCCAGTGTGATGTATCAACGGGACATTAAATGGGAAATGAAATAGAAAGTAACTAAAATTTAATGTTGTGGAAAATAACTCCAATGAATTAGAGTACACGCACATGAATTCGTATGATAAACTGTCAAAACGTTTTGAGAGGTAAGGCCGGGTTCATTAAAGATCGCTACAATATGTAAAACAGGTGAAATTTGTAGAACTAAAGGAAACATCCAACCAAATGCCCTTTTTAAATAGTAATGTAATGATATAATATAAAGTATATTTCACATGATACAATATACTTTGCAAACAGTTAGTTGATGCTTGAAAGGGACTGACGAAAACATGGGCGAAATATTTTAATAACGCCGTAAAATAGTTGAATTAAGTAAAAATTAGTTAAATTTTGTGTCATGATACTAGAATAAATACATTTAATGTATTTGCGAAACAAAAACATGAGTTTTGAGTAAAGGAACATATACTCGCCCATGGGCCAAACCTTTTTCTCGCCCATGGGCGAAATATTTCAATATCGCTATAAAATCGTTGAATTAAGTTAAAAAGAGTTAAATTTTGTGTCATGATACTTGAATGAATACATTAAATGTATTTGCGAAACAAAAACATGAGTTTTAAGTAAAGGAACATATTCTCGCCCATGGGCCTGCCCATGGGCCTACCCATGGGCCAAACCTTTTTCTCGCCCATGGGCGAAATATTTCAATATCGCTATAAAATCGTTGAATTAAGTTAAAATGAGTTTAATTTTGTGTCATGATACTTCAATGAATACATTTAATGTATTTGCGAAACAAAATCATGAGTTTTAAGTACAGGAACATATACTCGCCCATGGGCCAAACCTTTTTCTCGCCCATGGGCGAAATATTTCAATATCGCTATAAAATCGTTGAATTAAGTTAAAATGAGTTAAATTTTGTGTCATGATACTTGAATGAATACATTAAAAGTATTTGTGAAACAAAAACATGAGTTTTAAGTAAAGGAACATATTCTCGCCCATGGGCCAAACCTTTTTCTCGCCCATGGGCGAAATATTTCAATATCGTTATAAAATCGTTGAATTAAGTTAAAATGAATTAAATTTTGTGTCATGATACTTGAATGAATACATTAAATGTATTTGCGAAACAAAAACATGAGTTTTAAGTAAAGGAACATATTCTCGCCCATGGGCCTGCCCATGGGCCTACCCATGGGCCAGACTTCGCCCATGGGCAGGCCCATGGGCCACACTTCGCCCATGGGCAGGCCCATGGGCGACATAGTCTAAATATTGAGTTTTTGAACATTTTTTTTTTCATTTTTTCTTCCTTGGTATGTTCCCATGAAAACGGCATGTTTAATTTTGTAAATACCTTTAACCGAGACTGGGCAAAGAGCGTAGAGTTTCTGGACTTTTGGGTTTCCAGAATTAAAATGGGACGTGTTCAGTAGTCTTTTAACTCTTACTATCCAGGTTTTATACTTCATTCCGATCATACATATTGATAAGTGTCCTTAATGGATATGTCTTAAGAAATCGACATATATGGCTGTAAAGTGTAAGTTTATGTATATATCAAAACAATGAGTATCTCACTTATACATCCAACATTTACTTACCACCAAATCTAGTAGCTCGATTTCCATTTCGATTGCTGCATCTAGAAAGTCAGCACACTGAAACAGAGTACACAGAATGCTCAAACATAATTAGATGAACGTGAAATTGTATACATACACACATTATATAATGATATAAGAATATATATCATGACTGATTATGAAATTAACTGTAACACAATATGAGGGGCGACCTACGGGATCAGATGGTCAGGCTTGCTGACTTGAATGGTGCACGTCATTGTATCCGATACTCATGGTGTCAAACACATGGATTGTCTAGGACTACAATAAGGAAAGAACTACTGAATTTATATCATAATCAGAAAACTGAACAATGATTGGATAACTATATACACACCTGTTCCTGACGGTCTTCGCTGAGCTTTTCACAGAACATGGTTTCGATCAGTTCCTTCACAGAGGCCTGTAAAAGAAACGTTTTTAACTACACGTTGTCATGATTTTATGATTGCATTACATCAACGTGTACGATTAGTTATTTTACTTAAAACAAGATGGTACATGTTTTATGTAGTTTGGGAAATAATGTAAATGTGCCAGACCAACATAGGAGTGATTAAACCTTCTCAATATTTGTTACTCACAACAGTGACCATTTGCCTTTCTTTGACGTCTTTTAGAAAGTTCTTGCAGTCCTTGCATCGCCTTCTCCCTTGAACCTACGAAACATGAAATGACAAATTGAATGCATCATTATGCCTACAGTTTTTAAACTTTCGATTGTAACCAATGTAACAATAATATTGCAGCACAATAAGTGTGACGAAAGACGAACCTACTTTCGAACCCAGTAAATTGTACAAATCATGAACACGTTAAGACATTCATTTGATTGTGTGTAAGTTTGATGAGTTATACTCACTAAACCTGTTGACTAGAGGACTGGTACTAGGTATTAATCTTGCCTTGTTTGTAGGTGTGTTCATGTTGGCGGTATCAAGCGACGGGCAGTACTTGGTGGCTTTACAGATGGCTTCAGGGCTCTATGAAGGTGAACACAATTACATGATATGTTGTAAAACAAAATCCTTTTGCTTACTCGCAGTGTACAATAATAATTATAGAGTTAAAGGGTAAAATCATAGTCCAATTCTCAGCATTTTGTGTAACTCAGTGAAATCATGGTAAAGGTTATTATTCTGATAAAGGAAATGTAAGCTGAAATGCTGATATAGAGTTTTCCATCTCCTTCCCCGGGTATCTAAATTCCATCTGATTGGTACTTTCCTGAACTTTTTGCATCAATCACCTTTTTCATGATGTCAGTATATGCAAATGTAAGCTGACGCAATCTTGTGCTTCATGATAAGTCCATTGATTGGAGCAGGATTTCTGATGATGTAAAAATTAACAGTTACCTGACTGTTGACTTTGTCCTTCTTCTTCTGGCATATTTTCTGCACTTTTGTCTTACACTGCAAATACGCGTTTTTATAATATTAGCTTCAAGAATATTAGTTTATCTAATTCACAGCGTTAAGGATCAACACAGTTTGCTATGAATATAGATTATTGTACCTTTTTAATTATCTACCTTGTGATATATTCAGTACATTGCTCTTTGCAATGAAACATCTGATCTTGTTGTTTATGAAATGCGTTTGTTTACTATTGAGAACTATTATTTATCTCACCTCTTCCACCTTGCTGGGTTCCATTGAAGAACAGACGTTGTTCATTTTTGCTTCCTGTTCTTCCTGAAACACATGTTATATAAAAACTCAGTACAATAGATCTGGAGAAGAGACATGAGTGTATTTGTGACATGTTTACCTCCTTACGTTCTGGGGTAAACTTATCTTTAAATATATGTAGTAATAGATCTATGTGTAGTAGATAGAATACTGATAAATATATGAGAGTAGGGTTCAGTACAATATTCTACCAAAGACTGGACAGATCCCATTTATTTTGGGAAATTGGAAAATTCAGAAGTAGATTCCGAAACGAACACTTGGTTGACTGGTCCCATTACTTTAAGTATTATATTGAGGGTAGGGGTATAAACCATTAGTGTATAATCAAAAAGATAATGTTCTAAACATGTACGTATATGTTAGTGGGCACGTTTGGAAATAGCACGATTTTTACGAACCATCATGGGATACAGTCAGTATTATTTACGTACAATCGATTCGAGTTCCATCTCCTGGCGATCAGTAATGAAAGTGATGCAATCAGCGCACTCATCATTTCCATCCTGTATCGGCAGGGCCATAGCTGAAAACATGTAAATATAAAACGTCAACGCGTCAACTTTAGTCAAAAAATAATTAATGTAAATATGTTTAGATTCGAACACATCAGAAAAAGAATTAATGCACATAATTGGATTTCCGTAAATATCATATTGCTGCGCCTTAGCCACGACCATCGTATCTACTGAGAAGTGGATAGTTAGAAGGCATGGCCATTTAAAACACTCACCTTGGCTTGCTACAACAGCGACTACAAATGCGAAAAAAGTCTTCATTGTCCTTGAAGCTGAGAAATTCAACTGTTGTGATGTGTTTAAATGAAAAGCTTTATATATGTTCCGATTCTTCATAGTTGGTGACTTAGTCAATCACAGCGCACAGTAGGATGGCTTTAATTAACAGCAAACTAATTCAATTAGACGATTCAGAGAGATGTCCTGTTCTTAACGAATATTCTCTGTTTGAAACCTACACATGTTGAGACAATAATTGTCGCGTTCTTAATAAAATAACCTGTTTTTGATATCTCTCTCGATTAGATCTCTTTGCCACCTACTGTTGACCATGGTGATACACCCTACAATCAACTGACATGATGAAAGAACTCAAGAGTCGTAACTAGTCAACAGCTGACTGAATTTGTTTTGCATCTACATGATTACTAAACTATGTCAATTAGCTGACATTGCCAATTCTACAAAAGTCAGTTGGGCGGTGAGGTAGCCTAGTTGATAAAGCATTCGCTCGTCACGCCGAAGACCCGGGTTCCATTCTTCACATTGATGAAGTCCATTTCTGGTGTCCCCCGCCGTGATATTGCTTGAATATTGCTAAAAGCGGCGTAAAACCAAATTCACCCACTCTCTCACTCACTCTCCAAAAGTCAGGTGATAAACAGAAACGTCTTTCCTAGCGTAAACACATTTCTTATTGTTGCTAAAATTGAAACAAACAAAAAATGATTCTTCGATGGTGATGTATTTCATAGATTTATACCTTAAGTTTTGCAGTTTTTCGGCGACTGTTTTCAGCTTGGTAACCTTTTGACAACGTTTGTCAAAATCCCTTGTCAAATGTATACTCTCTTTATCCGGCAGTTTATACAAATACAGTCAATACAAAGGTGGTCGTTCTTAATTTCTGTAAGATTATAAATTTCTGTAATATATGACATGGAGGGAGATATGGGTGCAGTCGCCTATTGTTCCGTAATTGGCAGTCAAGAGTTACGCCCCTTAGGGAAGCCAGCATCCGATGATCATGAGTACGAACGTTTTCATTTTGATAATTTTGTCTTCAGATTTGTATTTGAACCAAACAAAGAATATGTAGTAATTATACTCATGCGATATGCAAGATTTTATCAAACAGCATAATGTACGCACACTGCATGCAAAAGAGTGCTCTTATTTATTCAACCGATAACTCATTGTGTGGTGAACCTATTATTCTGGATGGGTAGATAACGAGAACCGAGTTGATTAGATTGTAAATGATATGTGAAACACGTCAAACTGATGTATGGAAGGCGTTTGAATTGTTCATTTATCAACTTTACTTTCCAGTTTCACACCTGATTAATTACCACATAAGTGAGTGTTTAGTTTCCATTGCCTTAACAATTCAGTTGCATGTAATCATTTGTGTTTTAATTAATTCGAAATAGACATGGCATTTTGTGTATTATGGTTTGATGTGTTTCATCTAGGTGGGTTCTGTATTTGTTGTTTCTGAATTGATTATGCCAGTACATTTTTAGTAGATTTTATTTTATTTTATTGATTAGGAAGCAATCGGCAACATTCGAACTATATCCTGGTGACATACACATAATAGTTTCGCCTGGGAACGGCGTCTTATACCTTCTTTGTATAATCAAAGTCTTACGCCGTCCAAGTGCAGTGACACGCAATTTATCGCCGCTACTGCAATCGACGGTTTATGGAACGTACAGTTCATGGTGTCCGGTGTGTTTACGACATGTTGATGGAGAGGCAGATGTGTTTACCTGTGAACCATCCCCTCAACATGGAGATACAGATGTATCAACCTCTTAACCATCCCTTAAAATGACAAGGATTGTTCTTAGATCCAAAATAACTCAGGACAAAAAGTATGAAGGCGATCAAATCATATACTTCCTGAGGAGTGTGTCATCATTAAAAAGACTAAAGTTATTGTTGATGAAACATCCTTGAAGACAAAACAAGAGGCCCTTATCAGATGTGATACAAATGCTGACAAATCTTTACAGGATGCACGACTGAAAGGAGATGACCAGATTTTATTACAGATTGGGAACTCGGACCCAGCATGTACAGAAGCGCGGTACCATGCGTCATGTTATAAAACAGTACTCTAAATGTGTATATAATCTGAATTCCTCGCATGAAAGCCTCCAAGAAACTTTGTGCAGAGGTAATTAAAAGTATTAAAAGAAAGGGAGAAGTACTTTTATATATACTTTTATTCCTCCATAGGAGAGTTACAAGGTATAATATTAAAGATAATTACATGAAAATTATTACATTGTCAGAGAATACCACCATATACCACTGTGGTAACGTATTTTGTTAGTAAATTCCGTCCATATAATGAAAGCGGTATAGTCCTCGAATTTCACTTCGTGAGTAAGAGCCACTGGTATCTGGATCAGTATCCAAAGGTGGCTTACAGGACAGCAAACATAACCTGATTTGTTGTGGAGTTCAACGCTGATGTCAACGGGACCTATACACACAATGTCACACTATAAGTTCTCTCTTATTGTTCTCTTACTCACACAGTGGCACCGTACGTGAGTCAGTAAGTCATGGTAGTTAATACCACACTGTGAACAGATACCATGTAATTTCCCCGGTCTCCACATCGCACAAATGTGGACAGCAAAACAGGCAGCTGCCTTTAGCTCAGGACACTCTCGAGCTATCCTCCTCGCCACGTGTGAATACTCTCAAAGTGCACAGTGTCAGTTTCTGATGAAAGTCTTTCCCGCCATGCTGGTACTTCAAAAGTATTCACGGCTTCTTTGACTGTCCTTTTCCATATCTTCCGCTCCAGGGATGTACTGGAACTAAGAAATGCTTCCAGGTGACAGTATAATGAATACTTATGGAGGATGCGACATATGTCTGGGACAAAGCCCATACTTATGGATGAACACTTATGTATATAGACATGGAGATACGAGTCATAAAAACCTTCTTAGAAAGCAGATGATTAGAACAATTACAGAGGTGGCCAAGAAAGAATAGTTTCCTGATGTTGATAAGTGATTCTATGGGGAGCCAGCCGGGAAGAGCATTAACTATGTCAGACCTAGTATGACGTGGAAGTCCCTGTGCCATTTTGAGAATGGACCTCTGTGCTCCTTCTATAGCCAGAATTTCTGCCTTGGAAATCATCGACCATAACACCCAAACATAGCCTTTGGGATACAAATTGCCGTAATAAGTTTTGAGCTTGTCATGGGGTTTAGAGCGCGTTCATGCAGTCCCGATTTGACGAGTGCCATGGCTGATGCTTTCATCTTTGAGCAGCTCTCCAGAGTTCTCTACCATGAGTTAAATTCAGTGTTCAATATAACCAACGTGCTTAAGCTCATTTGTCACTGGGATATCACGTCCATAGAGTACAACACTAGAAGTAGCTGCTTTTCTGTCACTATATCTGACTATCTGGCTCTTGGAAGGAGATAAAAAGAGAACCGCCAGTCTGAACCATATCTTTCACATATGGTCATCATCTTCTGCAGATTTGCTGATACTGGACTAACAATTGCTATATCGTCCGCTTGAGTGGGTGCCATTACATGGATATCCAAGATCACTGCACCAAGTTTGCTGGTGGACAGTTTCTCTCACAGTTCATCTATGTATAGCAGGTAGAGTTTTGCCGACAGGACGCTTCCTTGCCGAACACCTCTTGATAACGGAAACCAGTATGATCTTGTGTTATTAACAAGGACGCTGCTCTCGATGAACTTGTATCTATTGTCAAATATCCCCCACAGTGCATCTGGGATTCCAAGATGATACAGCTTGTATAAAAGTCCTTGGTGTCATACTGCGTCAAACGCTTTTGAACTGTCTAAGAAGGCTAAGTTGATGGCGTCCGATCGTTCTTTATGAAGTATTGATTCTTGTACAATTAAGGAGGTGTCACTGGAGGAAAGGCCTTTCTAGAAACCACGTTGTTGTATACATGGAAAGGATTCACTGTTGGTGAGCTGTTAGATTCTACTACTTACAATGACTTCAAATACCTTGTATATAACCGGCAATAGGGTTACCCCTCGATAGGAATCCGGTAACACGCGAGACATGTTGCCTCCTTTGAATATCGGTATGATAGTGCCTCTTTTCCATTAGACAGGAATGTATCCAGATGTAATGACGAGGTTAAAGAGTTCTGACAAGCACTTTGTAAGGTATTTTCCACCATATCGAAGATGTTCAAAAACATGTTGTCCATACCAGCAGCCTTGTTGCGTTTTGGGGTTTTGCAAATTGATGTTTTTTTCCCTGGACTTGTTAGAAGATCAACTGATGACTGGTCAGTGCCCTGTATGTCCAAACGTATCCTTTCCACGTGTGCCTCAATGTGCTTCCTAAACTCTTGATCAAAGTGAAGCTCATCTTGGTCGCTTGATACCTGTTTCATATGGTTTGGCATGATGGTACAGATTTCTTGGGCATTTCTTGTTTGCACACCTTCTGCTTCAAGGCATGCAATTGGTTCCCACGTCGAATTAAAGTCCAAAACATCTTCTGATCTAGGTCACAAAATGGACAGGACAAAATGTATGAAGGCGATCAAAACAAAAATTGATCCTTGAAGAGAAAACAAGAGACCCGTATTTGGTACTCGGACCCAGTATGTACAGAAATGCGGTACCATGCGTCATGTTATAAACAGTACACTAAATGTGTATATAATCTGAACACCTCGCATTAAAGCCTACAAGAAATTTTCGTACTGAGGTAATTGAGAAAAGTATTAAAAGAACGGCAGTTGGTGGAAATAAAAGGAAATAACAACCAGAAAAATACTTTCTCTTTCACAAGACATAATTCGTCTTTTCTCTGTGGTGGAAAGCTGATGCGAAAACACTTTGCTTTAGGTGTGGCCCTAAAGACACATTAAAGGGTCTACCAAATTACAGCAGCTACTCAACTCGTTAGGACACGGCGTTTCCTACTCGGTGACTCTTGATACGGCTTTGACGACAAAACAAAATTACAGCATGAAACCGATGTTCCCTATGGATTTCGCGGCAATGTGTTCACCACCCTGATGTG